TTTTTTTTTTTTTTTTTTGGTGCTGGGGATCAAAATCAGGACCTTGCTTTTGCCAGGCAGGCACTTATGTTGCTGAGCTATTTTCCCCAGCCCAATAATTACCCTTTAGAGATTGTACCTGGCAATCAATATACACCAAATGAAATGCCACTCTGCATAAAAAGAAGGCACATTAATAAAGCTAATCACACAGTGCTCCACGGAACAGAAAAAAAAAAAAAAACATACCATATTTAATAAAATTCCAGATTCTTGGGGCCGGTGTCTGTAGAAATGTTTTGCGGTGTTGGAGATATGGTTTGCAAAAGCGAGCAAATCCTCCACGGTTCCGTATCTGACCGATGACAACCAAGGCACCTCCTGGCCACTCAGCAGCAGAGACTCTGAGGACTCCTTGTTCTGATTGCTGTCCTGACACATGGTCATCAGACTGGGTTCATACACTGCTGGCTCCTCACTTGTGTAAAGATTTTCCATGATATCTATGACATCCGACACATTCAAATGTTTAATTAAAAAATCGATGTCTTCTTTATTGTCACTCCCAGTGCTCATGTACTCCATTCCTGTGGCACTTTCTGGAGTCTACAAAAGGAAACACGGATACTTTGTTCACTGTATTGGCATCTACAGTTGAAGACAGTTGCAAGTGCAGAGGAAGGACTGGGAACAGAGCTCCCTGTGCCTTTGCTGATAAAGCCAGGGTCCCCTGTCAACAGTGTGTGTGAGCTCGAGCGGACAGATGCTGCCAAGTTGAAAGAGACCTCAGATAATCCTTAGTGCCACTAACTTTGCAGGGGGAAACCTGAGCTCCAGACAGCTTGCTGGTTACTCACTGTGGCATCAGCTCTAGCTACTAAAAACAAACTTTCACCACACAGTAACATAAATAAAGCGCAGCTCAGGAATCTCTGAAGACCTCAGGACCTTGCTCTTGCCAGCTTCCCATGTTATACAATCTAGTTGTTCCCCAGAGCAGCAATTCTCCCTGCAAGAATCACAGGTTTTAGACCCAGGGTAACTTTAAAGCCAGAACTGCTTGACTAAACTTAGGAGCTAACTTGACAAACAAAATACACATGCTGGGCTGGGGAGATAGCTCAATGGTCTAAGTGCCTGCCTGGCAAGCGCAAGGACACGAATTCAATCACTGGTACCACGTGCCGCACTGGCCCCAGAACCCCAGTGCATGCAGTGCTGGCCACTAAAACCAGGTGTGGTGGTGCACACCTGTATTCTCAGCACTAGGGAGGATGAGACACGAGGATCACTATGAGTCTGAGCTACGTAGTGAGACCTTGTACTAAATAAATAAATCAGAGATTAAAATAATAATAAAATATAAATGCTTAGGGCAGAAGCATATAAAACAGATTTTAATCTAGGAAAAGCGATGATGGCAGTTGCAGAAACCATTCTGGGCAGATGAGTTAGCTGAATCACTTACTCACAGGCAGGAAAGGGCCTGGAGCTCGGTGAGGAGGGTGAGAAAGGACAGGATTTTTTTGACCTGTGATTCAGCTGTCTCCTCCAAGACCAGAATTTTTTAACAGTGCAAAGCAAACATCCCAAGGATCTCAGAAAATTATTTTAATATCTAGATCAATGACTCTCCAGAAAGGGTTGTAGTAGACAGAGACTGAAGAAGTAAAACCCACCATGAGCAAGTCATGCATGAAGACCAACTGACTACGTTTAGCCAAAATGGCATTTCAGGTCTACACAAGCAGGCACAGCACTTGTGGATCTGTAAATAAGAAAAAGAGGAAACAAAGGGGGAAAACAGACACTGCCCCTTTGGACCTCAGAACAACTCCACTGCACTACAAAGGAAAAAAGATGATAGGATCTAAGAGATGTAAGACAACTGCGAAGCTTATCTGTCTACTTAAGCCATGGAGCTCCCAAGAGTACAGTCTCCCTCTGAAAGATCATTTAGGATATTATAAGTCCAAGCTGGCCTGGAAACTAGTGGGATAGTGCTTACTTAGCCTGCTCCCGGTCTGAGGTTTGATTCCCAGCAGTGGGAATTTGTAAAACAGTTGAAACATTAACAGACAGGACAAAGCCATACACTTTAATCAAGATGGATCACAGCTTCAGTTCCAAGCTGTAGGAAATGCTCCACAGCAGTGCCACCTGCACAAAGAAGAGTCACACAGTTTACTGTCACCCTGAATGTACTAGAGGGTCATTCTCTGCTGTACAAACTGAATCTGGAAAGCAGTCTAGCATCCATCCTGCAGTCTAATAGTCCTCTAGATTCAGTCTACTCAGGGTTCAACCTGACCACCCTCCTTTTACCATCTGCATGATGCTGGGTAAGCATCATCTTAATAGCTCAGTACCTCAACTTTCCCCATTTGCAAAATGGAATCTACCACCTCGATGAATGGTTCAAGAGGATTCAGCAGTTGAGAGGAGTGAGCGAGTATCTGCGCCCAAGGTGGATGTACAATGTCAACTGTGTCACTTGTAGCTACTTTGTGTGCATGAAAGAAAAAAGTACTGAGTTGACCTAGCTTTACAGATGATTGTATTAACCTCCTTTCTCTTATCTGCAAAGGGATGTGGGTACCTATTCCTCAGCTTCTTCACAGTAAGCCTTTAAGATTGTGTCTAAACTAAGAAATGGGGGGAGGGGGCAGAAACCTTCCAGGAGCTTTGATAGCTGTTATCAACCACACTTAAATCTACAAACTGAGGTAGTTCCCTCTCACACATCTCCTGCACCTTTGTGGAGGCTGTGATTCAAGTTTTGACATTTGTGGCATTACAAAGGGAACTTTTTAGGTTAATGAAAGAACATCTGACTTCGGTTTCACCAAGCCATGTAGTTGCAGTTTCTACTTGTAGAATTTACTAGAAAAACAGAAGTTACAAAAAAAAAAAAAAAGTCTAATTTAGGAGCCTCACTGACTGCAAAAACCAAAAGCTCCTGGACTGACTTATCAAATGGACAAATGGGAAGCAAATAAACTTCCCAGTGCTAATAAGACTTTGAAAGAAAAAGAGAGAGAAAGAAGTAGAAGTGTCTAAAGAACTCAGATTCACTTAATGAATCTAGGGAGGAAAGACAGGTTTTGCTTCTCAAATCCTGTAGAAAGAAAGCCTCAAGCACTCATGCATAAAACCTTGGACACCGGTGGCAAAGCTACTACACATATGGTGGTGGCCCGTTTGTATCACTGAAAGCTCTAAAATGTTTGCCATCGCCCACCTAGGAGGTTACACACATAGGGAACCAACAAAGAAAAGGACCTGTGAGGTGGAATGCTGGACAGTGAGTTTGTCTACACTGTTTGCTTAACTCCTTAGCAACAAGGCTCCTGCCACACAAACCTGCGCTACTGAAACCCCATGACCAGTATGCTAAGCACTCCATCAAAAGATCTCAGCACTTTCCCATCTTGTAATTAAGCGGACTATAAGCTCAGGTTTCTGAGTTACACAGGATCAATACCTACCTAGAAAAAGTGTAGATGGTGAAAACATTCTGATTTAACAGCAAAGGCTTTTAGTATGATTGTGCCCAACAAAGTTTGCAATAAAAAAACGCATAAAATTCCTACTTCTTGATACAGAGAGAGGTAGCCCATTTTAGAAATGGAGAGATGTACCATGACAGTCAAAGCTACTTCCAAATATTTCAGAGACTATCAATAAAAACAAACACGAGTATACATAAAACCTGTGTTTGGTCAGGCAAGTGTGAATGAAAAAGCCAAGGTTACAGGCAGAAGTTTATGCCTACCAAGGGTGATTGGGCCTGCTACTATTTCCCATTAATAAGATTTTTCTGCCAAAATACTGCACTGACCATGAGGGTCATTTTTTGTTCTCGAAAAGCTCAAGAATGATGCATTCCAGCCTTACAAAATCAAAGTCACTCTGCTGCAAAATTTCTAGATGCCTCAACTATTATATTCTCCATGCATTCCAGCCTTACAAATCAAAGTCACTCTGCTGCAAAATTTCTAGATGCCTCAACTATTATATTCTCCAACTCCTTCAGGGCACCTTCCAGAATTACTGCGCACAACTTCAATCCACCAGAGAGTTGGGGCATCAGCAGGAACGAACACGACAGACGCAGTCAGAACTTAGCCTCGAGTCTGTGAAGGTGCTGTATTAGCATCTTTATCTAGAGCCGCCTTTTAGTCAGGTTTTCCCAGCACCAGGTGCTCCTCTAACCCCTTCCAGGAGGTCCTTAAAGCCGAGGAGCGAGTACACTTATAAAAACACTCATTCCCGAGGCTGCCCAGGCGCACTTACCGAGGCTCGGCAAGGAGCGTGCGGCCGTCGCACCGGCGTCCCGGCCGGAGGCGCGGTGACAGCGACTCCCTGCTTCCTCGCGCGCTGCCAGCCCAGCACTGCCGGGTAACCCGGGATCCGGGAAGGAGGAGGCAGGGGGCGGAGCCTCGACTCCACACCTCGTGAGACCCTTGCGCAAGGTGCTTTCCAGTTGTGCCCGCCTGCAGCTGGCGACCCGAGCCTGGCACCTAAAAGCAGCTGCGCGGGGCACGGGCACCCCGCCTCCCTCCGCCCACAGCTCTGCCCCTCTGTCGGGGACACCTCCGCTTCCGAGTGGGCACACGGGGCCGAAGAAGGAAGTGAATCGAAAGACGCCCGGTCTCCCTGCTCGCGTTACCTGCGGCCTCCGCGCGACCCCGTGGCTCCGGGCGTGCCTGGGGTCGCGGTGTGGAGCGCGGAGCACTAGGACGGCGGGCAGCAGTGAGGACCCGTACGGGCGCCGTCCTCGGTGGCCAGGACTCACAGCGTCTAAGCCGGCCCAGGGGCGGTGCTGCGCACGCCAGCCACCGCCTCCCCGCCTTTTCCATTTCCCTTTTCTCTCCGTAAACAGAAAGACACTGCCCGGCTCCGGCAAGCCTGAACCCCCGCGCTGGGAAATTCCGCGCCCCCCCCCCCCCCCCCCCCCCCCCCCCGCCTCAGGGCCCCCGGAGGCCTGGGCGGGGCTGAGGCGGGGGTGGGTGGAGCCTGGCGCAGGGTGGGCGGGGAGGACATGGACCTTGCGGTGACCCGGACTCGGGATTCCGGGGTGTTGGGAGAAGTCCGCTGAGGCCGTAGAGGATGGGGGGCGCGAGGGCAGCAGCAGCCAGGATGGAGCGCGGGGGCCGCGCAGAGCGTTCCAGGACCCGCAGCCAAGGGCGCCGGAAGGCGCAGTGGAATGTGCGATCCCAGCGGGAGAGCTTGGGGCCCGCGCGCTCTGACCTGCGCCCGCGTCCCTGGCGCCAGCTCTGTGCACCTCACACCCGGGAGAACCAGGCTGCCTGCTGCCTGCTGCCAGCTGAGCCACGGGAGGCTTGGGGCTTTGGACTTCTCGGAACCGCGTCCTGAGTGCATCTGTTACGGGCAGGACGGCTCGGCCCCGCCCAGATTGGCTTAGGTCCACTCAGCCAAATCTAAGATCAGTGACTCTGGTGCAAAACTCCGGAGAGGTTGCAGCAGTGGGAAGAGGGATCCTGGAGATCTTTACTGTCTGGTTGGAACCGGTTGCTTCCTGCAGTGCCCCAGTCTGAAGTGTACCTGCCTGGTCTCCCCTAACCTTTAGCCCCCGCAGCTAATCAGGGTTTTCCTCCGAGTGCAAAGCGTAGTCAAGGTGACGCCATAACAGAGTGCTAGGGAAAAAGCGCCCCTCTGCACAGAATCCACACAGCTAGATCTCCCGAACTCTGGGGAGTCGCCACGCCCCTACCTCTCCACCTCCCTCCAAGTCCCCAAGTATCCAGCGCTTGCACCGAGGTCAGAGAACTGAGGTAGGTTAGCGGCGTCCTGTCGGTCCTAGCGACTGAGGAGCGTTGGGCTGGGGGGATGGGGGGGGCAGGCACTGCGCAGACCCAACACTAAGACTCAAGTCTGCGCCGCCTCGCGCCGGTCTCCCTCAGCACCAGGGCTCAACGCGGCACACTTATGCGGAGCAAAACACTCTTGGAACCAAGGAAAGCCCTAGAGAAGGGCTGGAAACGGGGGCCAGCTAGGTGAGAAGCAGAGCCCGCCTTTTGGAAACGTACCTCATATCCAGGCAAGCTTGAGTGGCGCCGAACACCGCAAGAATGGACCCCCAAATCCTCCCACCCCCTTACTGGTGACAGAACTCTGGGCCTTTGCACTGAGACACACCCCCTGCCCGTTTTTATTTTATTTTAAGGCAGAGCATCAGTTAAGTTGCCTACGCTGGCTCAAATTTGCCATCCTAAGGTCTTGGCCTCACAGATTGGCGTGATTGGCGAATGCCTCCACGCCAAGCTCCCCAAGTAACTATGTACACTAAGGCTGGGTGAGTGGTGTTTCATAGGGAATCCCTCCTGGAGGGGCTTGGCCTTGCAGGTTCTTGGAGGTAGGAAGAGCAGTTTCCATCAACCCTGCCTCCCCGACTCAGCGGATAGAGCTGGGTAAACGTGGACGCCCACTCGGTGGAACTGGGCGCAGAGTGTCCCGTTGGGGCTCCAGCGGAAGTGTCAGTGCCCTTGAACTTTTTCGTTGGAAATTAGGTTAGCTCAGGTTGTTACCTGTAATTGTAACTTGAGGGATATCTCTCTCACTCGCTGCCTTTGGACAACAAAGACTGAACTTTATAAGCATTTTAAAAATAGAACCGTGGAACCACCCCCCTCCCCGCCTCTTTGAATGATCTCATTAAAACCACACCTAATCTTCTGGGAACTAAGTATTAGCCTTACTTCCTACAGAGGGCTCCCAAATATAGCTGCACTTTCAGTTGGTCAACTGTTGTCCTCTCTTGGAGTGCTCTCTGGCTGCTCCGAATTTACGAAATAGCACATTTCATCTGCTGGGGTGAATTCAGAGAATTTACTTGAAAATATTTTTAAAGTCTAACAAAAAGATTCTTCTGGCCACCCAAACAGACTCCAGGAAGAAAGAAACTGAGAAGAAGGGAAACGCATGCAGCCTAGCTGCATCTTTCTTGGGCTAGCTCTCCCTAAGCCTCATGCTAAAACTGGCAACCCTTTTCTCTTGGTTGCATGCTAAGAAAGTGCATTTTAAATGCATCGGTGAGCCAGTGTATACAATGCTGGGGAGCGGGGGCGGGTAATTACAAAAGACACTTTAAAGGGTAAACATGCACCCGCCTCCCCACCGGAAAAAAAAAAAAAAATGCCTGCTGTCCTGAAGCTGTTTGCAGCCTGCAAAATGAATTTTTGGACTGCAACCGATTGCCCTTTACCTAAAGAGGTTTACTTCTCTCAGTTTGGGACAACAGGTTTGTAATCTGTACTTTGGGAATCCAAATTAATTTGCTCCTGCCAGAAAAATATGACAGTAAGTATGCTATCTGGACTGCCCAATAACCCATGCAATTGTAAGTGTGGCTAGATATTAATAAATGTAATGCACTAATGCCTTGTCTTTTTTCACATTCGTAAAATACAGAATTTTAGAAGTAAAATTAACTGAAATAGATATCTGCATAGGGCTTGATGAAAAGTACAGCTCAGTTTTCTTTTTTAAATTATAACAAAATAATATTAAAGAAAGATAACTACTGAATTTTTTTTGGTCCTGGGGATTAAACCCAGGGTCTTGTACTGAGCTACATCCCCAACCCTTTTTTATTTATGTTTAGAGGGGTATTTCTAAGCAGGTAAGTTGCCCCAGCTAGGCTCAAATTTGTAATCTTCCTGCCTCAGCTTCCCAGAGTGTTGAGATTGTAGGGATGTACCATCATCCCCAGTTTGTTTTATTTATTTATTTTGTGGAACAGGGGATGGAACTCAGGCCCTTGTGCTTGCCAGGCAAGCGCTTATTCTACTGAGCCATCTCCCTGGCCCCTATCCCCAGTTTAAAGGATCTACTTTTAAAGTTAAGAGGAACTTGAGCCTGATTGCATAAGCATTAACATTTTCCTACATGACTTTATGTTGAAACGGCACTATATGCTTACTAAGATGTTTGAATAATGATCTCATCACACTTCTAATTATAGCCTTCAGATGAGAGCCTGATAGGTAATAAATATAAAATGATTATCACGTTAAAAATTTTAAGCAGCTGAAACCAGATTTTAAATAGCCAATCACCCTTTTTCTTTCTTGGGCATATGTAAGTTATGATAACATGTGAATTTCAAATATGATTAAACTTTTTCATATTTGGTGTTTGGAAATGGCAAAGCTACAGTATGCAGAACATGTACACTTTATTCAAGCAGTTGGCCTGGCTACCACAGGAAAGGACCACCAGCTCCAAGGATGAAATGCATGGAGATGAGATTCAGGGCTGCCTTCTCAGGGTGGGAGCCAATGCTCCCCACCAATGCCTTGCCTCTGCCCCTGACTGCCCCTTGGCCTCCAGCCACTCTCCTCTGCTATATGAAATACCAGCCACTTCCTCTAGCTCAGACTGGAGCCCTGTCCTTCCACAGGAGCAGCTGTTCTGCAGCCATTTGAGACTGGATCAGCAAGATCCATCAGACCCGTGGGGGCTACAGGATACATCATGAGGTTCTGCTCTGCGGGGTAAGCCCTCTAAGCCACTCCAGAAGTGACTGCAAAGGCAGCAGGCCTTGAGACCTCAAGCCCTACCTGCCCCACTTTGGGGATGTAGGAGTGAGCACTGCTAGAATGCTTGGGGCTCATTGATATGCAAAAAGTCACCCTCAGCTGCTACAGTGCTCTGACTCTGGTCCCATCCCCCGTGTCCCCCCCCCCCCAACAGTGCTCTCTGCCTCTGGTCCCCTACAGGACCACCTCATCAGAGTGTGGGCCAGGATGAAAGGGGAATCCTTTCAGCCTTTCTCCTTGCTTTTACTTGGGACTTTGCTTGGGACAGTTCTGTACCAACCATCTTTCTCCCTCATTGTGCGAAGTGGGATCAGCCACCAAACAGGGGAGATGGAGGCACCAGGCAGAGATGGAGGCTGTGTGTGGGGGAAGGGAAGCAAAGATCCCAAGGCCTTTGGAAGGGAAGGGAAGGGGCCTTCCCAGGTGCACTCAGCTGTGGCTGCTGTCTTTATGGGCGTGAGGGCTGTGGGTACACTGAGTCTGGGTGTGAATGGAGACCATTTGTTCTCATGCTCAGAAGGCTAAACTTCAGGTCTCTCCAAGTGTTTAAATCTCACTCTTTGGTGTAAATGTGTGCTTTTGGTTTTACTCGCTTAGTGTTGTGACTTCCCCCGATCTAAGCTTCGTGAACCACATTTTGAAAACAGAAACTACTGCTCCGGACTTCTGATCCACCTGCCAAATGGAAACTCCTCGTGGAGTATTCCTTAATTGTGGTCTCCATAACAGACCTGTCACAGCAAAGGCGCCTCTGTGCACAGCTAGTACGTGTTAGGCCCAGGCAAGGAGGGCAGGGCTGCCCTCAGCAGATTGGGAAACACCTCAGTTGTTTTCCTAGGCCTCCTCAGAGGGAACTTTCCTATTCAGGCTCAGCCTCTGGGCCATTACTCAAGAGGCCCAAGAGCTTTAGGAGGTGACCAGATCTTCCACTTGGAAACAGGAGGGCTGGGGCTCAGAGAGATTTCAGCTGCATCCAGGAAGGGAGACATGAGCCCAAGCTGCCTCAGCTGTGAGTCAACTACTTTTAACCTAAAAAGGCTCAGGACCTTCAGAACCCAAATGGGTGCCCTGTCTCTTCTCACTGGAGCCTG